TTACCTTCTTTATGAAAAGAAACTTAAACATCATTACTATTGTGTATTAAATATCGGGCATTAAATAAAATAATTGTTTCTGAGATATAGTTGTTTCATACAATTCATGATGTGGTACGTGTAAGAGAGTGTATTTACTTTTAAAAATTAAACTTATATACAATCTTTAGGTCTCTTTCATTAGGAGATAAAAATAAATACGAAACGGATTTTGTGCCTCATCAGGGTCCCTAGCAGTAAGAATTTTTACCTTTCAGCTTGAAATTAGCCTTGGCTTGATTTTAACAAATTTATTATAAGCTGTAAAAGTTAACATACGTTAAAAAAGTGTATAAAATATCTATCTGTGCCTGTGGTTACATTTAATATAAATGTAATCACATTTTTAAGTGTATCTTTGAATTTTTAGGAACGTGGTCATACCTATATTAATTCTATTGTTACGAGCAGCCAAAGATGCTGACTAACATTGGTTACCATTAATTCGTATATCTTTGGGTTGCGAGTTATAAATCATATTTTTTAATAATGTGGTTGAACATTATGTCTGTTAAAAATATATCTCTTTTTTTATTAAACTTGACGATTTTCAAAGAACTGTAAAGTTGCAGTTAGTACGTTATCATTAAAAAAATAATAATAATAATAATAATAATCATAATAATTACCAGTTTTTATTCTTATTAGTAGTTTATTCATTAATTATTAAAATTTGTTTTGTTGAAAAGTTAAAAAAAATAAAAAAGAAAAATTCCTTGTATTTCAAAGAGATAAAATTTGAGTTCTTAAAATCCTACATGAAATAAATTTAGAGGAATTGTGAATCAGAGATTAATCAATTCACACGTTATTTTATGGAAGCGTTATTTAAAATTTTTGTTGAAGAATGCTCATTACTGCTGAAAATCTGCTTTTTTACTAAAAATGTAGTTAATGCTTTATTATAAATAAGTGTGTTGCCGTATTGGACATTTGCTTATTCTGGGCGTTTTTTACTTGAAAACCTCCGTTTTATGGATATGGTATTGCTATATGGACTGGTAATAGTTTTAACTTATAAAACGTCCTTCACATCATCGTAAGTTTTTTGATCTGCATTTTTTTTATAATAACGGACAGAGTTAGCAAAAAACAGTGAGTAATTAATAAAAAGCACAAATCTTATGGGTAATGGTAATAATTCCAACATTTCTGTGAATGTATGAATTATGACGTTACTGTGGTTTGTAACTTACATTTTATGTTACTACTCATTTACTGCTAAGAAGTTAAAATAGTTTGATTGTCAATTATGTTTCTGACTGAATTATTTATTTAAACTATTCTATCTGATAATAAATAATGATTTAATGATTTCGAATTGGGCATTTTCAACTTAAGAGTCATTAATTCAGTTTTTTCAGAATATTTTAAAAAGTTCTCATCTTGTTCGATGGTTGGTTTATTTATAGAAGACTTTGTCAATATTAATGCGGTTTAATAGTATCATATTTTTTCAGAAATGGTTTATTCTTAGAAAAAGTAATTTTCAAGTTACATTTACTGGCATGTAATCTATAAAACTATACTGGTACTAACAAAAATTAGCTATTTTACATAAGTACAAAACGTTACTTCTTTTTACTTCAGTTATCAGATGCCAATCATGTAACTTTTAAAATATAATCTAAATGAAGCTTATAACGAAGTTGACAGCTATGTGGAATGTATTTAAGCCGTTTTAATGTATATACTTATTTCATAATTTACAATTGATAATAAAACTAAAAATAATAATAAAAATCCTAAATCAAAGATAACAAAAAGCTCGATATATAAATGAATGGACAGTCTGATGGTGGAACTGACTCTGAGCTTAAACAGAAGTTGTGACCAAAATTAACAGCTACAAAATCATGGAAGATTGCAGAAAACAGAGGTCAATCATAAAGAAATATTATTGGAAACCACCTAAAGATGATATCCAGAGCAGGTGAGTAAAATATAAAGTCATAGCGCCAGGACCAACCAATGACAGATAAGGATACATACACAAAGAAAAAGAAGAAAAAAAGAGGTGGTAATAATAAGAACGCTAGATATAAAGCAATAAACATTATAACAATTATGTCACAAAAGTCTAAGAGAAAACTTGTTACGTTGCATAGATATCTAACAAACTGTTAAGTAAGGACACAAACAAAAAGTATGTGATAAAAAAATAATAATAGCGAGTTGTGACATACCAATGGCTACGTATGGGATATCAAAGCCAGAGAAACATTAAATATTCGAAATAGTCAAACCAAGTATGACTAACAAAGCAACAAGCAAATGTTAAACAGAAATAAATTTATATGAAGAAATGCACTAGAGTTACCAGATAGCATTCTCAAGGTTGGCAGCAGAAACTTCTCGTAACTACGAGAGGAGCAAAAACGATAAAACGAGGAAGAGAGATAGTAACCAAGAGGTTCAGGTGCAGAATAATATCCAAAAAAATAACAAGCAGCAATCAACTATTCCTAGTACGGTCAAATGAAGCCATCCAACGCTGAATAGAAGGGTGCAGAGTGAGCTTAGTAAGAAAAAGAGTGATGGAAAATTACAGCTCACTACCATACATAGAAGCAAATGAGGGCTATTAATAAGGTGCCAGAGAAAAACGAAAAAATTTTGGTGAAACTCAATAAAATAATGAATAATTCAAAAGTGTAAGTAAAACAAGATATCTTGCACCATGATTTTAAAGGTTAATGTGGGCGTCAGATGCAAGCATTACATAAAAAGCTTAAATAACAATACTGATTAAAATGACAAAAAAACTTATTAATAGTAATGTTAATGATAATCATAATAAGAATGATAATAATAATACTAATACTAATAATAATAATAATAATAATAAAAATGATAATAACAAAATTATAAATAAGACTAGCCCTAAGAGTCAAATGACAATATAATATAACAAAGCAATAATACAAGTACATAACAACAATAAAGCTTGTATGATACAAAAATACATGCATATATATGTACACATTTATATTACTAAAAGATGTACGATGACGATAATACCTTGTACTCTGTAAGATATCAGAATATCCACATTGATATGGTAGTGCAAAAGTTATTCATAGATGGGTCAAATGATGATTTTTGGTTCTTTTAATTTCTATTAGCACGAAAAAATATAAACTTCTAAAAGCTTCATAATACTTATTAGCTGAAGTCACAAAAATCAGTTTTTGGGTCAACAGCAAAAAATACAGTTTAGTAGGTCACCAGAAAATTCAAAGAAAAAACTTTTTNTACAGTTACGAGGAAGTGACTCCTTCGTGGATGAAAAAAACCATGTAATCTCGCAATACTGCAAGTTAAACAAACATCAGAGTCTGGTTGCTTCTAACTATTACAAGCAAAAGGAGATAGAAGAAACAAAAACACAAAAATTTGACTGGAAATGTAACAGCAAACTGTGAACTAATTAAAAGCTGTATAGGAATTGCACGTAGTATAAGGTAAAATCTTTATTTACGTTGTGTTAACACACAACATAATTTAATGACAATAGGAATCATTGGAAACCTTTAACGACGACTACATACATGACACATTAAGTGTGAGGAATAAGGGAATAGAAGGACTCTTGATGGTAGTTAGCTCATAAGGCCCCACTCATCTTAGAGGCCTGGGGCTACAGCCTACCTAGCCCTTCCTAAAGATGGCACTGCATTAAGCTTCACAGTACACATTGTATGAGACATTTTGAAATATCAATTTTGTGTGATTTATTTCATTTAATTAAAAATATCAAGTCTTGCGTGAGATATAGATTTAAAAACAGCGCCATAAAAATTATCATCAAATTACATACAACGTTATTATAAGAATTCAAAAAATGAAAACAATCGTTACCACTGGCTAGAAATTGATTTAAAAAAAAATGGTTCCTTACGAGAACAGCTTAAAACAATGCAGCAGAGCAAAAAATAAATCAAGTATCGATGAAAGCTTTAAGATGCATCATTTTTGTTAAGTGATATTAACAAAATGATTTTTTTGGCATCTAAGAAAAAATGTAGATCGAAATAAAAATCACCATCATGAAGCTGAGGAAAACTGCATAAAAATCTATATCTCAAGATATTTTCTGGTAGGTTTGTTAATGAATTATTATTTACGTTACTAAAAATATCGTGCAGCAACGTTGATGTCGTGGAGTTGCCACTTTTTGTCTGCTCGGTCACTATGATTGCGCTTGACTCGCAGAAGGTGGTGGTGGAAATTTCTGCGTGTATTTCTATCTACTTTATCTTTTGTTTCTAGTAAAGAGATAGATGAAATCAATCGAGAAAAATTTTCTTTTTATGGAGTTATCAGTCAAGAAGGAAATGTGCTGGGCATAAGATCTGAATAATGAGTAGGATGATAGCTATGACTTGAAAGGTGAAAATACCGTGTTTTTGCTCGTATTGATCCTTCCGGTCTTTTTTCTTTAATTCTTTAAAGAAATTAGAGGAATAGAGTGCATTTTTTGATTTTTCCTTTATTTATCTGGTTGCAAAACTTTATAATCACAACTAATGAAAATACGGAATTAAGCAGCACTTTTTATTGCAATAACTTTTTTGTTTATAAAGTTAAAAATTTTAACTACAAAAGAAAGAAGTATTGCCCATACCTATTTATCTTATTTAGATGAAATATCAATAACTTGCATTTCATTTTAAGCATTTCAAAAATGGTTTTTGACTACTTTCACTTCATAGACTTTTTTATCTTTTTCATCTGTCAGAGTTAATAAAAAGCTTACTAAATTTTTGGAACTCTCAATTTATATGTAAAATCCCCGTCCAAACAACTTCCATAAAAAACTTTTTTAGTATTTACGATCAATAATCTTATCAGAAAAAAATTTTGGAAAAACATTATTATGGTAATAATAAATCATATTGCCAACTAGTCTTATTGCCAAAAGTTTTGTACGTAATAGTACTTTTTTCTCCTCATTTTAGAGCCAATTTTTTAGCAATGGAAAAGACCACAAACTGTTTGCAATGTTAAAGGCTTATGGATTCTTACTACTATGACAAGGCTAAAAAAATTGCATAACTTTATCAATAAGGTAGGTAACTTCAATTTTCTCTCAACGATGTTGTTAAAAGCAGGTTAATGATACAAAAAATATTATTACAAACACAAAACGTATTGCTCTACATACTGGAATAATTATATTCTTACAATTTCTTGATTATGTCCTAAAAATAAATGAGTACGTAAACCATACACATAGTGGCACAACCGTCCTTTCACGCCCGTGACCATATCGGTACATTTACTAGGCAAATCCTTTTCCCTTCCTTGCCTATGCTCGCTTCTTCGTGGCTATTAATACAGGCTGCGCCCATAGCACCCGTGGTTGCCGTGGCTGCCTGTGCGCTCGTCCCCCTTTTGAGCTTATGGTTGTTAAATTAGTGTCCAGTATTTCAACCTTAACTTAGATCACCACAATAACCATGCATGTTAAAATGCGTCTTTTACAGTTAATTTCTTTAGATTTAAGTAAGCGTGCATTTTAAAATACATTTTTTTTTAATTCATTTTATTGTAATCAGACATAAATAAGTCCACATTTCAATAAGTGGTTTAAAATTGTTTTTGTTTTATTAAGATATTTAGACAAATAGGTTCTATAATAAAAATTTTTTGCCCTCGGTCGAACTTGAACCATGGTATTCAGAATGATAGTCAGGTACGCTGCTGTCCATCCAATTGGAGATATAGATGATACCTATACTAATACAAATATGTCTGCAAGATGGTTGCACATTTAAATAATTTTGGGAGCCTTTCGAAACGTAAGTCTTTTTTCACCTTCTTCACTCAAAATAGCATCTTTGCTGGTTGATTTTGGGTTTCCAGGTGAAAAATAGTGTACGAAACTCGTTTGAAAAGGCTTCTTTACAACCCTCGTTACGGTCCTCGCCTTCGGCTCGTGCCGTAAACCTATTGGTTTGTAAATCAAAGCCTTTGCAAACTCGTACGTAATATTCTATTTTTTAGATTTTAGTAAGCACGCGTTTTGACGATTTTTTAGTCCATTAAAATAATATTCATTTGCACTTGCCTTAATTCGGATTTGAAGTCTTAAACTCCAGAATGTCAATAAGGTACGCTACTGGCCATAGAGATACAAAAACTCTTATGAATCTATGCTACGAACTGTGCTATCGGAGAGTTGGTATATACCCGTACTTATATGTAAAGAAGACGTCTTATTGGCAGTTAGTGAAAACGTTTTTTCAAGATAAGTAAAAAAAAACTTCAATAATACTTTTACACTGTTTGTACCCATAAGATAAAAAAAGAAATTTTTTTACGTTATAATAATCTTTATTTTGTGGCGAGCTACTCTTCTGTTATGTACGTAATTGTACAAAAGATTTTTTATATTTTACGTCTTATTTTATCACACCATCCATTAATCGTACATTATCTAATCTTAAACCAAAGGTTAATGCAACGGGGTATTTTAAGAATTCATAGATGAATTATGCCGTGGATCGTTGACCGGGAATCACGAATTAACATCCACTGTACTTATAAATTTATGTGCACAATAGACTCGTGCATGTAAGTGAGTAAAGTTTAGCTAAAATTTAGCGCTCGATTCCAAATTACGGTGCAACGAACGCAACTCGTGTGAGTAATGTTTTTATCCTCTTGCAAGAACACGCGTAAATGAGTACTTATACAGTTACGAGGAAGTGACTCCTTCGTGGATGAAAAAAACCATGTAATCTCGCAATACTGCAAGTTAAACAAACATCAGAGTCTGGTTGCTTCTAACTATTACAAGCAAAAGGAGATAGAAGAAACAAAAACACAAAAATTTGACTGGAAATGTAACAGCAAACTGTGAACTAATTAAAAGCTGTATAGGAATTGCACGTAGTATAAGGTAAAATCTTTATTTACGTTGTGTTAACACACAACATAATTTAATGACAATAGGAATCATTGGAAACCTTTAACGACGACTACATACATGACACATTAAGTGTGAGGAATAAGGGAATAGAAGGACTCTTGATGGTAGTTAGCTCAACTACGCGTAAAAGAAAGACTATACTTTCTAGCCAATTTTTCTCACGCAAGATTTATTTTATTATTATTATTATTTTTTTTTTGAAACCAATAGAAATTTAAAAAAGTAGATAACCAAAATCTATGGCTCGTCCAACTGCGTCTTTCAGTCCTGCATCGAGCAAATTATCGACGGTGTTGGTATACGATTATCATTATGGGCCATGGAGTAGCTCGTCAATTAGCAGGGGCAGCCGTAAACACAATGACTAGCTGAAATCTACTGGGCTGTGATGCTAAGATGTACTATTAAAAAACTGACCAAGGCACACAGTTGACAGGAGGTTGAACAGTGAAAATTCTTCAGAGATTGGGAGCTGATTCTCAACTGGCCTGTCCAGACACTTATACGCTACACAATAGCGTTTCAGAACGAATGAATCGCACATTTCGGGATAAAGTGTGAACCTACATATATGACTCTGGGTTAAGGGAGAACATGTTATGATTAACTTTGAGTACTGCAGTATAAATTTGTAATCGCAAACCACACCAGTCCAACAAGACAACAGCAAATTTTACTTATTTGAAAAATTTACCCCAATTTAATGATGGATATAAATCAAAGAAGATTTGGTTGTGTGGCATTTATTAAGATATAAAGGAACACTGGAACCAAATCCAGCCCACAAGGTATACGAGTAGTACTGGTTGGCTACACTACTACTTGCTACATTTTCCTAAGATCAGAGGATGAAAAATTTTATGAGATTCCAGATGTAAGATTTCATGAAAGCTTGGTATTGAGAAATATCTGGGGAAAAGACAAAATAGCAAACTGAAATAATCATCTGATAGATATTATACAAGATAAATGGTTCATCAAGTTTCGTAAAGATAGTCTTAAAGTATTATTAGAAATGGAGGGAAAACAAGGAGTCAAGACAAAACGAGAACGACCGAAAAAGAATAAAGAGATTGTGTAAGGAAACTTTAGATGAATTGACGAAGAATTGAAATCAATGCATAAAAATCGAGTATGAAAAGTTTTAGATAGACCACCTATTAATGTTGAAGGAAGCAAGCCAAACATCATAGATTTGAGATGAGTCCTGAAGAAGAAGATAGATAAAGATGAAAAATACGACGTTTCATGCGAAATTGATAAATCGTGAAATTAACTATAGTAATAAGTATGACTTGGAAGAGACTTGTGCCCTTGTATCTGAATTAGCTCTTGTGAGATTGGTAATGTCAATTATTAATAAATTTGGTCTGAAAACTTGTAAACTGGATGTTAACTTCTTGAATGGATCAATCAAGGAAGACATATATATGGAGATTCCTAAAGGTCTGCTTGACGAAGATAAACTTAAGAAAAAAAGTATGTAATTTAGAAAAATTTTTCTATGGACTAAAGATTAGCTCGAAAAGATGTAATGAGTGTTTTTGCATGGCTACACTAAAACTAAGACTACTATCACGCACTAGTATGCCTTGTTTTTTTGCACGGAGAGAAAAACATAACGTTTTGATCTTGAAAATGATATTATGATGGCTTGACATATGAAGATGATATTATGATAGCAAGTGGTTGTGTTAGTAAGCTGAAGAAAATTAAGATTGGTCTGGTGTCGGAGTTTGAGATGTCAGATCTTGATGAGGTTGGCACTTTCCTAGGTATTACAGTAAAAAACTGGTTAGAACACTGGTTGAACTTAAGATAGAAAAAAAGGGTATTAAAGGTAGGGCACTGATAGTTTGAGCAGGGAGATCTAAGATACGTAGTATTTTTACACTCGTTTTACTACCTGCTTTTTTAACTGCACAACATACCCTCTTCAAAGCCAAAATAAAGACTTTGTGTGCATATTTACTACTTGTTTCCCGTGATTCAGCTATAATGACGATACTTCAAGTAGTGCTCGGTCTTTTCTGACTTTTCACACCAATACCCAATTAACTTTTAAGCTTTATGCTACTCCAAATAGCTAGAGCAGCTGTTTCTTTTCTAATACTTTAATCTGTGGCTTTGACTCTTTGCCAACCTGTCTTAGCTAAGAATCTGTTAGTAACGTTTCTAGCCTTGACGATTTTTGGACTCTAAGAACAGGCTATTTTGAGTTACTTGCACTTTGCGTCTAGTATATTTATTTTTATATCACCTCTGGCCAAACGTTTGACAAGTTTAGTTCTAGAATTCCCGTACTGATAGCCTGGTATGTGTGATTGTACGGATAAAGTATTCATAAGCATATTAACAAAAAAAAAGTCCTTCAGCGCGATTATTGATTATCACTTTTTACTGGTTGCAGCTTAAAAAGCAAACTATAAATTTGCAAGTTTCAAACTTTAAAGCTGTTGTAAAACAGAAAAAGCGTTCAAATTAATGTAGTAAATAACTTATAGATAGTTATGAAGCCAAATAATATGGCCCATCCAACTGTGGGAAAACAAACAGTCTTCTAGCACTTATTAAAGACCCCAATGAACTAATGTTTGGGATTGTCTATTTGTACTCAAAGTCCCTTAATCAGCCTGTTAAGTGATGAGTTACGTAAATGAATTAACTTTCTATTTTTATTCTATTTTATATTATATATATTCCCTCCATGACAAAATTTTAAGACTTTAAAAAGAGTCATACTTAAGGAAAGACATCACCCAACGAAACTGACTGTGTACTTCAAGGCTCTCGAGAGTGTCAAGTGACAACAAAGGTGAGTCACAAACCTTAAACACATGGAGTTAGTAAGTACTGGCCTCATAGCAAGTAAGACAAAGAAGTTTTACTAAGACTCTGTGCAAGGAACATTTCTTTGCGCGGCGTTTTAGTTAATAGCCTTCCACCACTCATGGAGAGTGGTTCCTAACTATTCGTTCAATACTTTAATCTAATTTGTTATGATTTCTCGATAAGTTCATAGTTATAATTGCTTAACAAATATATAGTTATAATTGTAATTTATTGTAAAACTAAGTAAACAAAAAAAAAAACATTAAGCAGAATA